AAAAAAAAAAAAAAAAAAAAAAAAACAAAAAAAAAAAAAAAAAAAAAAAAAATTAAATTTACTACAAAAAACTATTTTTAGTATCTATTTTTCATTAATACAGCTATATTTATAAAAATCTTGCACTTGCAGGAGGTGGGTGCTAATAAGCTTATAGAAGGGACAACAAATAGAGCAGCCGAAGTAGTAACGGCACAGACTGAATTAACTAGTGGATCTTCTGTGTGTCCGCTGACCGAAAATAAAAATGAAGAAGAAATAAGTGAGAAACCTGAAGCTACGCTCAACTGTAACATACCACCCGTTCGTAGCCTTCCTGAAAATGTGCAATGGGATTTTGATGTCGAGAACTGGCAAGATCCGTACCAAGTGCCTCAATACGCGATGGACATTTTCGATTATCTAAAAGAGCGCGAGAAACTTTTCCCCATAAATGATTACATGGAACATCAGGTGTGCTTGTCGCGCTGGATGCGGTCGTTGCTTGTAGATTGGATGGTCGCGGTGCAGGAGTCATTTGAGCTCAATCACGAAACCCTTTACTTGGCTGTGAAACTCGTGGATTTATATCTGTGCAAAGTAACTGTTAGTAAAGAAACGCTACAGCTCCTTGGTGCTGCCAGTCTTTTTATAGCTAGTAAATTCGATGTAAGTTATTTATCTTTTGTTTTTCACATCGCTTTGTTTTTATTTGCCAATAATACTTTTTTCCTCCAGGAACGAATACCGCCGATGATTGAAGATTTTTTATACATATGCGATAGTGCTTACAATCACAAAGAATTGACTAGAATGGAAATTAATGTTCTTAAAGTTATGGACTTCGATCTTGGAATACCGCTATCATACAGATTTTTACGCCGCTATGCTAGGGTACGTATTTTTTATTAATAACTAGCCCTAGTTTCAAAGTCATAAAATCCTATAAAAAAAAAAAAACTTTAGTGTGCCAAAGTTACAATGCCAACGCTGACGTTGGCTCGTTACATTCTGGAGTACTCGCTGATGGACTACGCGACGATATCGTGCAGCGACAGCAAAATGGCAGCGGCTGCTTTGTTTCTCGCTCTACAGATGAAGGACCTCGGTGGATGGACGCCCACCCTCGAATATTACACAGGCTACAAGCTGGCTGATTTCTCATCCATCGTTCTTGTATTGAATGAGGGCCTACATCGTAAACACAAAGAAGCGCTATCGACCGTTCGGAACAAATACAGCCATAAGTAAGTGTACTTATAATTTTTTTGGCCATTTTATTTAATTTTTATCACAATATTAAGAGTTAAATGATTTTCTCTAGGATATTTTTCGAAGTAGCAAAAGTACCTCTGAAGGAAAAATTAGATATTTAACAGTTGACTTGAGCTCATAAATGTAAGGACTATTTCATTACTGACGGATGCTCGAGTGCATCTTTTCAAAGAGTTATTAATATGGCTATGACTGAGAGGTACGCCGTCCTGAGGACAATCCAGCGCCTTCTTCGACTTATGTGGCTCGATACGACTGTTTTATGAGTAAAAGTTTAAGCAGCGTGTTGTGATGACAAGAGCCGGGATAACTCGATTAGAATAAATTTTAATTATTAAACAAAAGAGACTGCAAGTGCGCCAGCTCGTTTAATTTTGGAAAAGGTGCAAAAAAATTTGAGAAAGGATAGGGAGAAACAGTTTGTAAAATTTTAATTTTCTTTTTTTGTAAATGTATACACACTTGAGTGACGTCATACGTCTTTCATGTGTTCCTAGTGCTATAATAACGGTATATTTGTTAAACATATATTATAGCTTTTACTTTTTCTAAAACTCCTTATGAAATTTTAACGGATTTTATAAATACGCTCTGTACTACTTTTTTTAAAAACTTTTTCTAATATATACATATCTGTTTTCAAACAAACCTGCNGCATTTATTTTGTTGTAAACAATATACTATGCTAAGAAATATAGTTCTTTTAATTATACCAGTAAATTATAGTTAATTTTTTTTATCATTGAAGTAGAAAATAATATGTACAAAACGTCTTTTAAGGGATCTAAAAAAAAAAAAAAAAAAAAAAAATTCAGCTTCATTCTTTGTAAGCGTCATTAATAAACATCAATAAAATTTCACATTAAAGTGATTACGTGAATGTGACATTAAATCTTTTTAGTTAAGAAAGTTAGCAGTATCATTCGTTTGTGATACGTGAATTATGAACGTGACAATTTTTTCGTGCTTGAGTGATACATGTCTTTGATTGAAGATATTCTTGTTTTTATATTTGACGACAATATTCGACCTTTATCATGCGAAATTTGTGTAAGTCTTCTAAATTGTAGGCTACTGTTGTGCGATTCATTGTAATAATTCACTTTTTGGATTCTTCAATTGAAATAAAATACGTGTACATAATATTAGCTACTGAAATTTATATGCTACAGTATGTATATAATGTTGTTATATTTTATCAGAGAAACAAGTGTGCATGTGAAAATTAACTAAAATGTGACCTAATTTAAAACAATAAATTTTTAATTTTTAATGTACTGTTTCCTATCCTTTTTTCACAATTATAAAATAGTGACTGCATCATGTTAATACGAGACATATCGTGCACTAATTTAAGTATGAAAGATGTTCAAGGCATGAATTAATTAAATACTTTTTCAAGTGTTGGGATTCACAGTAGGTTTTTTTATATCTTCAACAAAAGCCAGGTACAACATATTTGTATTTCGACTGAAATCGGTAATATTTTAATTTTATTATTTTACTACTTTTTAACCAGCATTAGAATCAATATTTATTAATCAAATTTAGATTCAATGGCATTACGTAATAAATGTGTCTAGTCACGGTGTTATTCTTCTGTACATATAAATAAGGTGTATATTATATATAATATATTGATTTAAGGAAAAATAAATTTTGTGAACTGCGTGGCCGAGGAATAATAAGGGGACAATTAGGTTTAATAAACAGGAGACAACTGTTATAAAATAAATTAATGCATATTCTCTCCGATAAGCTCAGTAAAAATTATGAATTGTTTAAAGCACAATCATGATACCAAGGTTGCCTCGGAATATTAATTTTTACGCTTTAAGCGCTTTTTTTCGTTTGTTTTTTACTTCCGTTTCATTCACTTGAAAGATTAGTACTACATTTCACATCTAAGCTGTTCCCTTTCTGCATAAATATGTCCAAGATCATAATACTAAATTGTCATCTTTTTCACCAGTGACGGTTTTTCTACTTTCATAACAATTACAACAAATGGGAAGTAAATTGGGGATGTTATTTCAATAATGTTATAATTAATTTTATAATGCCTTAAATTAATTGAGAGTTTTTGTACCAACACTAATAGTTATATAGTAATAAATTAATAGTTTGTACAAGTTATTGAACTTGTAAGCATTGAAATTTATAATTCCAACTTTACAAAATGCTATGATTAAAAAAATTTGAGATTCCAAAATCTCGGAGGAACACTCGTTAAATGCCCTTTTGCGCACTATTAGTTCAGTACGTTCCCCAAAAATATTCTGCTATTTTGCTAATTTACAAATACGAACGGTAACGATCAGTCTTTTTGTCTACGTGCAGGCCATCACCTCTCATCTATTGCCACTTTTACATTGTTAACTTCTTTTTCATTACACATACGTCTCTCTTTCAGTCGAGTACAACGCTTACAGTCCAGTCTTTTCGAGTTGTGATTTGGGTTAACACATCTAAGATGGTAACAAGCACCACAGCTCTCGCATCGCGTCACTTTACTCAACTCCCACGGATATATTACCTCAGAAGAATTACAAAATTCGCAAACGAAGGCTCTGGCTTGACACAGCTGAAAAGAGGAATACAAATAACATATCAATGCATTCGAAATCATTTTTTTATATCGGGGTATTGGGCGATTAGCATGATTGATGCTTACTATGCATTCGGCTACATGCTTACAGCACTCTTGAACCAAGTTATTCAATTCAAGTGAAAGTGTTCCGTTTTTGACCCGTAAGAAATCTTCGATGGAATAAATGTGTTGATCAGATATCATGTGACTCCCTTGTCTTCTTAAAGCTTCTTGGGTACTGAAAGAAAATAAAATGTTAAATGAAATAAATCGCACAGTATTATAATCATTAATTGGTAAAAATAATTTTTACTGTGTTGCGAATCTACAGGTAAATAAAAAATCTTTAAGGTAAAATAATTGCGTTCGTAGCAGTCTCGTGCGGTTCAGTTGTTTTATCCTTCGATATAAAGATGGATTCAAATCATTAACTCGAAACAGAGGATCCACCGACATTTGGTCCAACAATCTGTAGGAAAAATTGGAAACGGGATACCTGCAAGATTAAATCACATCAATAATCTGTCTGCAAAATTTGCCAAATTGATTCGGGAACATATAAATGACCTGTTGAAATCCCACTTGGACAAAATTTTACCAGGTATCGAAGCCACCTGATTCGTGTGGCAACCTGTACAGAAGTATCTACCCAAGTATTCGCAGTAACGATATTTGCTGGCATATTTGACGGCAACCCTCATTCCGCATCCCGCGCAACGGTAATTCTGTTTAGCTATCAGAATTCGTCTCCTGATAAAATGGGAATTTTTAATGGTAGTAGAGCGTTTATAATTTTCAAAATAAATTCAATGTAACTTAAACACTCACACAGGAGCTGGATGGGCTGTGAAAATGATTTGAGGTCTTGGCGGTGCCCACTCAATCGTACCTCGAAGCGGGACCATACTGCCGTCAGAACTTTCCACCTCATCTGGATTGACTGGCCAACTTTTCGGAAGAGGCAATAACTGTAAAGTATAAATCACAATGGTATCCAACCAACAATTGAAAAGCTTTTTCTTAATTTTCACGTAATATACTAACTCTTTGAGGGGCATCTCGTTCAGAGACGAGCCACTTGAGTTCACTAGCTCGAGGTAGGTGTTTTTCACTGAACCTACTTATCAGAGATAACGCAACACCTTCGGCTGACATGTAACTGTCAGTTAAATTTGATTCTAGGCCATGTTTTGGCGATGATTTGTACAAGTCAGCTTCGGAATACAGAGACGCCATTGATACTGATAATCCTGAAAAACCAATGCAACCCTTGTTGGAGCGTTAAATATTTTTTTCCACTTTCAGATAAAAAAAAAAAAATTATCTTTGAAATGCAAAGTTACCCGAGTTTTTGAGCTGTTGTGACAAACTACGAGTGTCGTCTATTTCGTAATCATCGACGTCGTCGGTCGAAATACTATCGTTGGACGGAGTACCCGGCGACGTCGACAAAGGACTGATACTCTGATCAGTTGTCGTGGCTGATCGTAGAAGAAGAGGAAAATTAAATTTTTAGTTGAATTTAAAAAATGATTAAATACAAGTTACTCTCAATAAAGATCATACTATCAGTTTTTCCGTCACTGAGTAGATCGCGCGTCCAGACCTTCCGTCGCTCTTCCTGACGCTGTCGTCGCCTCAGTCTTATCCTCTGCTTGAGACTATTGATCTCCTCGTCACTTTCGTCCACCGTTTCGTCCGCTGACCTTAGCTCTCGATTACACTTGATCTACAAGATATCAATGCATTACTTTATCCATTATCAAAGAAAACCTCAACTGCACGATTACGATACCCTACTCAATACTTTACCTGCTCTATGGCGGCAATCATCGCCTCAGAAATACTAAAGTGTGCGTTCTCCCTATCCAGTTCAGCGTTGGTCCTGGCAAACTGCCCGGACGACAGGAAGCTCGTCAGACTCTGTCCCTCTTTGGGCCTCGGAAAGTACCCAGTAGCCATGGGCAGCACGCTGTTTCCTCCTTCCTCGATGAAACTCTTCTTAGGGGTGCGCACGTCCCGCTGACCCTCGACCTCGGTACTCCAAGAACCACCGCTCGAGAACTCTGGTGCTGAGCCAGCCAGACACGATCCCTTGCGCCTCGTTTCCCTGCCGTGCTTTGAATTGTTCTCAACAATTGTCACCGACTCCGTTGTACCGTGGTCCGAGTTCATTGTCGGTTTCAAGGGCTGACTTTTAGCACTTTTCGCTACGCTATCCTCGAAGTTGAGGGTATCCGAGCTACCGTTGCCGTTGCTGCGCTGATCTCGGCTGCGCGACTTCTTGCTCTTCCTCGAGGCGTTGTGATACTTGGACTTGGCTGCTCAAAAAATGTTTCCTCGGTTAAAAATAAAACAACCTCCCCGTTCGCGTTACAGCGTAACGAGTACCAACCAGGACTGCAGTTCTTCTCGGCTGTGGTTAAGGTCGAGGCATTGATGGCCTTGGTCTCGGGGTAATCGACCTTGATCACATCCGAGAGCTCGATCGACTGGGCGACGTGCTCGCTGAGGCTACTCGCGCCTGTCATCCTCTTGCCTCCCGACGTCTCGGTCTCGACTGCAGATGCCGTTGCCTTGTCTCCGTTCAGCTGATCGGGAAAACTGCTCCAGGTCTTGAGCGAAACTGCATCGCCAGCGTTGTTTGTTAATTCCTCGTTGATCGCACGCTGGTTCGTCGCTATCTCTATTCTCGGCTTTTCCTCGACCCTGGGTTCGGTGCCTTTGGTCTCGTCGAGCGATTGCTGCTGCTCGAGCTGAGACCGCGGGCGGAGATTCACTGGAAATGACGAGGAGCGCCGATGCGCTCGTTTCGGACTGTCCTTGCTACTCCAGTTGGGTAAGAACTGTATTATAGAGATTGAGTAACTGATAAGGAATCTGTTGACTTACAAAACTTGAAAGTTTATTAGGTGGCCTCGGGGATCGGAGTGAATATTCGAATACCATTGCGTTCACAAAGTACTTTTTACTTTGTGTACATGAGGCCATTTTTTTTTTTGGAGATATTTTATCAAAGAAATAAAGCGAATTTAACGAAGCAATGTAAATTGTGGCCGTTCGAATGAGAACAAGATCGACAAGTTATTTTGCTATTGGACTTCATATCTCAATATGATGCAACAAAGAATGCGCATTAGTGCATCTAATTTCATTTCACAATCTATTTGCGTTAATGAGAGCGTCCGATGCAAATCGCGCTTACTACCAAGTGCATTTATTTTGTTGTAAACAATATACTATGCTAAGAAATATAGTTCTTTTAATTATACCAGTAAATTATAGTTAATTTTTTTTATCATTGAAGTAGAAAATAATATGTACAAAACGTCTTTTAAGGGATCTAAAAAAAAAAAAAAAAAGGAAATAATGAGAAAATAAAACTGTGATAATCCTTACCAAGGATGGATCGATTTCAGTCAAAAGAGCTGGTTGATTTTTTTCTACAGCCCTTAAACAAACAAGCGTGGCCTCAGATAAATTTTCTTGACAAAGAAAAGCCCAGGGTTCCAGGCAAGAGAGCAAATATTCCTTATCCGACAGCAGCCACGATAGCTTCTGTGATAAAGAGTGATCTTCCAGACTACGAAAAGTTATTCAATTTTTTAAACCTATCACTTACATCACAAATACCTCAATCAAAGAGGATATCACGAGAGAACAAGAGCCGTATAGAACTCTAGTACTGATACAAAACATCACTCTGTTGTTATTTTTATATGGGCATACCTCTTATATAACCATAATAGATATTTGTGCGAAATAATCCTATTTGGAAGATTGTCATGATATTCATCACAGTCTCGGATGGTTGGAGAAGAGGCCAATGAAGGCTGAAGCCAGTTCAGCCCTTGTATGAATATCCAGCAATCTGGTTCACCCTATTTAGAAAAATGGTACATTGCTTTTGTGGGAAATAACAAATATATTGCACAAACAATATGACAACTTTCATGAACATCTTTATAAGTAACATTAGTAGGATCTTGATCCAATTAAAATACAATCAAAGCTTTATTACTGCCAAGTGGACCAACAAACAAACAAACAAAACCAACTTGATGTTCACAAAAAGAGCTCTATTGTATAAAAGAGAATGTCAACAAGCACAGACTTACACTGGTATCAAAAACTCTGCAGCCATGCTTAAATATCCTCTCCATTATGTTATGCAAACGATTGAGTCCTCCATAAACGTTCCACACATTGGACACTCCATTTGTCAGCAGACCCTCGACGGTGGATCGCAGGCTCTGGAGCAACTGCCAACGCTCCTTGGCTCTGGTCTCCTCCATTCTGATGATGTCTGTGCCTCAGTCCTCATTCAGATCAAATGTCTGTTAACGTTTGACAGTATGTAAGCAGCTATACTTTATTTATTTAAAAACAGCACTTCTACGTGTAAAATTGTTCTATACGTGTTGCATCTATCTATCTATTTATTTTTTTGACACTTGATGTTACTAGTAGTTATAATATAACAACAACACATCACACGATCACACCTATCATTTTGCACGCGGATGAAGGAAATGATACATGTGGAATGATATATTTTCAACGATTTCAACGGCATCATATCACGAAAACGCCCCTTTTCTTCATAAGTATAGTACTGGGATTCCAAAAGGTCACGTGACTCTCGCGATATATATAGTCACTTGGGGGAAAAATAACACGGGCCTTGTAGGTGCAATTACATTTTTATTTTTTTTACACGTTTAACGATTGTAATACGATAAAAGCCTTACAAAAACATATTTTTGAGATGACAATACCTTATCTATTTTTTCCCAACTCAATTAGTCTTTTGCAGCTTAAAACTTTCCTTTGAAAGTGCGAAAACGCACATTTAACCTTACCAAAATCCTGCTTGTTTTCCTATATATATAGTCGGGATTATTTTCAGTTGCATCTTATAAAATACCTAACTCTTTAAGTCATCGGAAGACTTCAAATAACTTACTTATGAAAAGATCGGTTGCTATTAGCTGAACTTTGCTCTGCTGCACATACTATACATAATTTTACCATTGTACAAAATAATTAACTTGTTTCCAAAATATTTATAATTAAAACTATCCTCACAGCAGTGCAGGTCATATACATATATAGGTTGATGCATGACACAGCTGAGGATGCCACTGCATCGTCTGCTACTGAGTAAACATCATGCATACATATATATGTTTACATATGTTTACATATATATGCAACTGTGCTCCTTCCCCTTCTCCGTCCGTCTGCCTCGCGCCCCCCCCCTCCCCGAGTGTGCGAGAGAGAAAGACTGACTGCCCTCGTCTTCTCTCTCTTTCTACGCGAGCTTCACTGCCAGGGCTCTCGAAAGTGGCAGATGATCTGGCGCAAAATTTTAAAAATATTAAAATTGAGTCTCAATCAATGACAAATAATCAACTGTAGCTTATTAAAATTCGTAATTAACTTAAATGAACATTTTAATCATAATATAATAATCTGAAAGTAACAATTTAAGTAATTGTTATTAAGGTGAATGTTGATCAGTATAACAGAGATTTTCCAGTATTCCAATTAATTTCGTAGTTTTTAATTGTAATATGATAATAAGAAACTGTTATAGATAATTTAAATTATCATTAAAATACTTTTTATTCGATAGTTATGATGATACGGTACTTATTTTATGATGTTAGCAGCGAGGTGTTTGGCAGTATATCTATATGTCAAAGCCCATTGATTTCTGACTCGAAAGTTGGTAGCATTTCTCGTGGTCAAGCATACCGTGATTAATGTATGGTAGTACTAAGTGGAATTCAACCTTTAATGTGTTTACATCGTCGAATTCGTCGGCAACTTGTCATTAAAACAGAATGTTTTAATTTTTTGTTTTTATTAAAACAAGGGTTGAGTTGACGAAAACAACAGCATCGACAAGTACGGGTGCAACGTTAATGATGTCTCGTTCAGTTAGCTGTAAATTAACCTATAAATCAGATAAGTATAGAAAGTATTTTAATAACAAAACTCTGTCGTGAATTGAATAAACAGTCTAGTACTGTCTATTAGTATAAGTATCTAAACCTCTTCAAGTACCTAATCAAAAAACTGATGGAATTTATACACGTTGCTGTTGAATCATTTCATTAAATTTATGAATGCTCAGTTTTTCCCTTAAAGCGTTTATTTATAAGTATGTTTACTTTGTGCTAAATAATAATTTCAGAAGGATTAGATGTCTAGTGGATCAAGGCTTGATGACATTTCCTCATTACATCAATAACAACTGAAAGGGGAACTTGTAGTACAGTGAATTTTGTTTAAGTATAACTCATTTTTCATTTTCAGTTTTTTATAATTTATTAGTATAGAAGCTTCCATAACGTATATTTTCCTTTTTGCATAAATTGCCAACTCATGCAAGGGATTTTTATTTCTAGTTGGCGTACACTTAGTTAGTAGCTATGATTCCATTATAAATGACTGTCACACAATCTTTTTTTTTCTTAACAGTTGTAGATCTTACTTTGCAACCCTTTTCATCATGCATCTTCGTTGAAAGCCCATTGAGTGTGCCATACCAAAACAGTGACCAAAAAAATTTAAGGACCTACTCAATAACATTACATGAACAGATTTTAACACCATGATGACAACAATGGTATTTTCATATAATAATAAACGTGGTATTAGTATATAATAACATAAACTATGTATGACTGTATAGGTAAGCAAGACAATGAACTCCCATTTGACTATCCTCACACTCATGTCAACTTTTCAGGACACATCAACTTTGGCACAACTGAAAGGTATGGCTGAGTGCAGTGATGACAACTATGGTATTTATATTTTACAATAAATAAGGTTTGAGTATACAGCATTATTCATGTACGACTCTAGGTAAACAGTACACTATGTCCTTTGGTTCCACTATCCGTACACTCATAACAACTTTTTTAGGACTTATATCAACTGCAGCACAACTTGCGGGTCATGTTAGCCCAGTGGTAGGATAAAGACAGGATCCAAACCAAGAAAAGGTATGGCTGGTGATGGACAACGACATGGAAGTGGAGGTAGCAATAAACGATGCAGGAGATGATGAAGATTGCTTCGGTGAAATAGAACAGTCATTTAGCACTGTCAGTTTTCATCGGGTTTCGATAATACCAAATTTACATTTTAACCTCCACTGAATTGTTCGAGCTCTTTACACTGTGAAAACGTCATTAGCTTGAAGTAGACATCATCAGTGAACCTAAATAATTATTACTCTACTGAATTTTGAATCCAGGAATAGCTTTTTTTTGCAATCAACGTAATAGTTTTATCAGATAGAAACATTTAAAATTTTAATTATGATTTCATCTATTAACGGTTTATTTTTCGTTAAAATTTTTCTTAAACTTTATTTTATTTGATACCAAGCTGTCTCTCTTTTTCCTTCGCTATCTCTCAGGCTTCATCATGAAGGAACATTGGAGTTCAATATGAATTGTAGGAAGCTTAGCGCAATTAATATGAAAATTTTTTTATACTTCTATAACAAAAAAATTTATTTTCGCATGTAAAACACAAAACGGTTATAAAACTCAATAAATAAAAAATCATTTATCACAACAATGTAGTATGACTAACAGTAGTCTTTTTAATACAGTTCAATTTTTTCTTGTATGTTTGTGTTTATAATATGACCGAGATATATATCTATTTATCATGTCCTCCGAAGGCTCGAATTCATCGCCACCTAACGATGAGATTTCTTCTCGTGCAATTAGAATAGTATTTACAGTTTCTAGCATCAATGCATTTCTTATCTTAGTCTTTACAATGTTTAGAATACTGAATCTACGCTCCGTGTCAGCATTCGCATGCGGACACGATAACGCCTGTAGTGCCACTTTAGCTAAATTAGCATACATTAAAATTCCTTGGTTTTTTAGGGACAGTATAAAATACCAAAATTCATCCGCTGCCATTTCTTCAAAAAAAATTCCTTGATTTTCGAATACTTTTTTATTTTCTTTGGATCCTAAAATTGTCAACTTATTCCACTCTTCTTTTATTTCGTTTAACTTCTGATCGTTTTCGATTAACGTTCGAAATGTTTGACATAATTCGTCGAACAGTTGAGGCAAGTCATCATGAAATTTTTGTGATATTGCGTTGAGTGGATGTAAACATTTAGAGACAGCATATACTTTATTTTTCAATCTGTTAAATCGATTTAACATTTGAACAGCAACAGCCACAGTAAATTTGAATGAATCGTTTAAAAACCCTTGAAGGTAAGCACCATTTTTTATAATTTCGTAGCGAATAGCATCGCCTACTTGAAGATCTACGAAGGGCAGATAGTGCTTGTTATCCGACAGATCTATTAATGCAGGTTCGATTAGTGCTCTTTCTTTAACATAATTGCGATCCAAGATAGCTGATATTATATTTTCATACGTCTTTCTGATTTCTTTTTCTGCTAAATGTATCACAGGATCTTGCCTCTGAAAAAATAGATTCAATCGATTCAATTCACCTAATATATGTTGTAACAGATAAAAATAACAAATAGTATCTGGTTTGTCCATCATAAACACAACATTTTTAGCCAATTCATCCTCGTTCATCGCAAGATTATGAGCAAAATTTCTAATTGCTTCGTATTGTTCTATATCTCTACTAACACATTCATCTAAAGACAGCCATCGGAGAGATATCCATCGTAGAATTTTGTGTTTCTGAATGTCCATCTTTTCCTGAACGTTTTCGAAGTCTTGAGAGCGATTTGGACCTTTTACAAGTGTATATATATTTGTTATTAAAGTGAGAATCTCTTTTGGTAACTCTTTTAATCCGTACTGGGCACATAAATGCAGTGAGTGTGCAGGACATTGTACAAAAATCATGTCAGGTATTACCACTCGTAACCGTGCTTTTAGCCCAGTTATCTCACCAACCATTGTAGCACAGCCATCGCAACAAACGGCAAAGATACTTTTTAGTGGAATTCCGTCTTTATGAAAAGAATTTTTCAAACATTCAAATAGTCGGGCCGCACCCGCATCTGCGTCTTTTCCTTTTTGAAAGATCGCCACTAGATCCCATAGCTTGATTGTTACTTTACCAGTACTCTCATCGAAAAAACGCACGATTATAGCCAATGCCTTATTGTTGGTATAATCGGTAGATTCATCCAGGCATATACTAAACTGAACCTGCATCAATTTTTTTTTTAAATTTTCTTTAGCACCGCTCGCAATCACAGTTTGTGCTATGTCTTTAGCTTTTGTTGCTGCAACATGTACCTCTCTCCAAATACATTTTGAGTCCATGGATTTCAAATTCTTCAATAATTGGGAAGCCTTGTCAAAGGGAAAATCCATCCTAATTAGCATAGCAACATATTTTATTTCCAACCTCGCCATTCTCACAGTTTCAGCACTACGTAGTGGCATTTCTAAATCTTTCAGACGAGGAGGAACTTTTTCTGGAAGTTTTTCCCAATGTATTTTATTTTTCACATGGTCAAGGAGCGTCGACAATCTGGATCCTAAGAATGTTTTGCATACATTGCAAAATACTTTGAACGGATCATCTTCATTGAGAACGATGCAGTTTTTCAAGCCTGGAATCTCAAGCCACTGC